GCCGAGACGGCCCGAGTGGAGTTTCATGTAAAATGTTTCGTACGGAAAAAATAATCGCGGGCCGGCAGGCACGGTTACCTCGTTAAGAAGAAAACAATTTTTTATTAAGACTTTGCCCCTCATCCTACAGAAGGGAAGCTATATCATAACTCGAATAATGAACATAAAACTTGTTATGACTTTCAATGATTATATATTGCTGATATTCTAATTAGTAATCCTCATGTAGATTGTTAATTCTCATTGTATAATTAGAAATGATTATATAAATTTGTAATGTACAGTATAACAAAATGTGACGTTTTATTTCCTCGTTTGTAGAATAATTAGCTGAGTAGGCAGACAGATTCAACTGAATTTCAAAGTAGCTTACTACAACAAAAATTAAATCTGGCCAGGCTCTGAGTCAAAACCAACGTAAATGATACTTCTGATCCTCTGAATGGTGATTTTTTGTTTTAATGCTGGCACGGTGCACGATGACGTAATGCAGAAAGGGGAATTCCCATAATTATAGCGGGCGCCCTTCAAAATTATTGTTTTGCGGCTGGATTTGTTATGTACTGTGCAGTACTGTATGTTGATTTCCAGCTACACCGGACAGGTACTGCTGTATTAGAATAATTAGTCTTTAAAGTGTTACAAGTGTGTTTATCTCATACGGATACCAGACTATATACGGCTCTCCTAGCAATACTATTATAATCATGTTGTGCAACGCAAAAAATAATATTTGCTGTTTTGTACCTTCGACCTATTTCATTTATAAAGAATAAATACAATAATTATAGTAATGGTATGTTTATCCTGTCACGTACACACACTCTCTCATTATTTGTCTCAACATATAATCAATGTATTATGCAGTATTTCCGATTTTACGCACATATTTTTCTGGCGATTTTCTCACAAATTTTCGCTAATTGTTTATGTATCCGCATGCAAAAATACTTTACAGTGTGGCACGCACACATGGTCCGCTTGAAGCCTGCTTGACTGTAAGTGTCGGTGGATGTTGTATTACCTACGAAGAAGAAAGCTAGAGCCAGGGCCAGAGCGAAGATGTCAGATATTGATCTTACGCATTTCGTGAAATTTTCGAAACTTAGTAGGCGCGGTAAGTGGTACGATTGAACAATCATGTTGCCTTTCCTTGCACACCACTGGACCTGAGTAATCGTTGCTGTGTTTCCATTGGGGTCATGTGAAGTGACGTACACTACATCTGTAGGGACCTGTACTTCTTTAGGCCTACTGGCTAAAAACTGTGTTTTCTCGAATCCATCACGCTGTTTTACCTCTTTATGCCTGAGGGCGCTACACAATAAACAATCAACTTAATTGGCACTAACAACATCAGTTTAAATAAAAAGACGTAATGCTAAATACGATTTAAAATTAGCAACTTAACATGTTGTCGGTATCAATATCGTGAAGCGGAAAAGCATTAAACGAGTTTTTTTGTTTTTTGGTTTTTTTTGTAGCCAGCGTCTTTAAAAAATTTTCGAGCATCTGATGCGAGTCCAACATTTGCATAAGTTACAAATGATGACTTTGCTGGTGCAAATGATTCCAGTTTTACATTATGTTTTATGTAGGTGTTTTAACTTCACTCCTAAAATGAGATGTTGTTGGTCCGGGATTAATACTTATGTCACCACTCAAAAGCATGAGCACCAGGGTTGTGAATTTTGCTGGATCGATCAAAGTTTTCTGACTAAAACAATTTTTACGACGCAGTGGCGTACGATTGGGGATTTTTCGAGGAAGCACATTGGTTTAATAGCATTATGGGCGAGAAATATAGATGCAATGATATGAGGTAACACCTTTACAAGTATCATTGTGTTGTTTTAATTGCCGCGATCAATTAAGCGCTCAGACTTAGGAAGTTCATTGTTAGAGAAAGAAGAAGAGCTAAGCCAGACCCCAATTAGCGGCCTCGCCGAAGATAGCTAGGCCTAATCGATCGATATCCCTTTTCTTTTACTGACACACTGTGATTGAGTAGGCCTATGTTGTAACAGGCCTGGCTCTCAGTTCGGCAATCAATAAATATTTACACCGCCAAATTTCTCCTCAAACAAAATAAATCCACAATGATTATACTTAGCAAGTTGCTTGAAGAGGATCGGTTATGACTAGATGTCCAGTGAGCGGAAAATTTAAGAAAAAGATAGAGAAATCCTGTATTAATATCTTAGTGTGTGTACGCGGCGGACCTAATGAGAATGGATGTTGGAGTGACCGCTTACGGGAGGTGGTCTCGAGGGAGGTATATAGGCCTACCGAGGTCCCCAACGGGGGAGGGGGAACCGGTTCCCCGGACGAGGGGTCAGATTCCCCCGACGAAAGCAAAGTGGGCGTGGTCGAGCTTTGATTAAAAGGTACCGAAAGTGGTCCAGGGGGCGAAGCCCCGAAAATTTTGACAATTTAGGGGTTTCAAAGGTTTATTTAACCGATTTTCATTACAATTTGTTTTGTGTTCCAAAAATCCGGCCCGAATTCACCAAACGGTGCGAAATCGCTGAAAATCAGCCCTTTTTGAGCAGTTTTTTAAACATATCTTCGTATATATGAGCATAGCTGTGCGATGATGATGGCAGACGTCAGTAACTAGTTTCTCTTCATCCTCTTTCGCAGCCACAGACTCCATCTATTCCAAGATATTCCTCAAGAATTTCTACCTCAAGAACACATAGCATCTGAATGGTCATCTTTGTTGAAATCACCATAGCGACAACTTTGTGAAATATTAAAACAAACCAATTACAGAAAACAGTACTGATTCAAGAATATAATATACAATTATTGTTTTTATTGGTCAAGCCACCGTCCTGCAGTACTATGTTTGTGCAAGCCAGTGCATCTCTATTAGTAAAAATACATAAACACAGTATATAAGTTCACTTTTATTTTTAATAGGCCTAAATATGATTACATCATGGCATAAAATAAGATAGAGAGCACTTTACAAACTTCAGGTAGACAAAACTTAAGTATTAAAATAAAATAAAAATATGTTGTCTGTAAATGATTTTTAACCATTTCAAGTATATTAGTCAGTTATTAACAACTACAGTATTTTGTTAAATAAAATTTTCAGAAATTAGCAAAGCTAACCCACTAATTAAATTATTAGCCGAGTAACAACATATTAAATTAATGTATGTATAAAAATAAGTATTTACAGTATTGCATAATGTTCAGACCCGTAACCAGGTTCATGAGATTGGGGGGAGGGGAGGAGAAG